GCAGGAGGGGAGAAGAAAATAAAATATATGTATCTCACAAAATTGAGTACACCCTCACATTTCTGTAAATATTTCATGGGACAACACTGAAGATATGACACTTTGATACAATGTAAAGTGGTCAGTGTACAGCTTGTACAACAGTGTGAATTTGCTTTTACCTCTAAATAACTCAACATACAGCCATTAACGTCTAAACCGCTGGCAACAAAAGTGAGTACCAGCATTGCTGCAGAGGGCGTCAAAGGTCAGCCTGACAGTGGCTCAGACACACGCCACACACTGCATCACATGGCTGTCGTCCCAGAAGGACGCCTCGTCTAAAGATAATGCACAAGAAAGCCCGCAAACAGTTTGCTGAAGACAAGCAGACTAAGGACATGGATTACCTGTGGTCTGATGAGACCAGTGGTTGCAACACAAAATATTGACACTTTGGGCACAGTTTGGACATTTTCACTTAGGGGTGTACTCACTTTTGTTGCCAGCAGTTTAGACATTAATGGATGTATGTTGAGTTATTTTGAGGTGACAGCAAATTCACACTGTTGTACAAGCTGTACACTGACTACTTTACATTGTATCAAAGTGTCATAACTTCAGTGTTGTCCCATGAAAAGATATATCTACATCTATGGATAGATATATCCATGTGTATAAAAACAGAAAAACCCTTGGATTTATAGTGAGGAAATAACCCTCGTGACTGACTCAGAACTGAAGTCGACTCTGGAACAGAAACTCAGGGTTAAATAACTCAGAGCTGTTAGCTCAACTGAGATGTCTGACCATACAGACAGGTATGAATACATCCAGGCAGCAGCAGACTCGCTTATTTTTAATATTTATGAAATGTGGGGTTTGGATTTTTTTTAGTACTGTTGGAAGTCGTAGTAGTAAAGGAGGTTAAAATGGGATTAACTGCCTAGCCCTTGCAATCTACAACAAGCATTTTGAAAATGCACTTTGCTCTATTAATACACACACTCACCATCTCTTTTTTCACACTTAACCAAAAGGAAAAAAATTTATAATAGCAAACAAGTTAAACTCAGAAGTACTAGACCAAAGCTCATCCCGGTGGACTGAGTTTTTCACGTCTTTGTGTGGATCTGCGTGTGTCTCAGCATGTCCTTCTTGTATGCAAATGGTCTTGAGCAGATGCCACAGCGGTAAGGTTTCTCTCCCGTATGCTTTCTCATGTGAGTAATTAGATTACTTCTCTGTCTGAATCCTTTCTCGCACACTCCACATGTGTACGGCCTCTCCACTGTGTGGATCCTCATGTGCACTCTCAAACACTCGCCTCGTGCGAATCTCCTGCCGCACTCCTTGCAGCAGTGAGGCTTCTGACCCGTGTGGATCAGCATGTGCCTTTTTAAATGGGTCTTTGTGGTGAATGTTTTGCCACAGACGTGACACAGATTGTCCTCCTTGTGTGTTTCTATGTGCTGCAGCGCACAGTCTCCGTGTGTTTTCAGGTGAATCATCAATGAATTCCTGTGGCAGAAAGATTCTCCACAGAGCTTACAACAGAAAGGACTTGTCCTTTTCTTATTGCTTAAGCTGGAACTCTTCTGCTTCTGCTTTGCCTTTGTTTTTGGCTGCACTGTCTTTGAATTGGATGCTCTGCTCTCCATCCTTTCATTATCACAGGCATCATTTTCAGCCCCACTATCTGAGGAGATGGGCTGGCAGAAATCCGATCCTCCACATCCATCTGCTTCCTGCTTAATTTTTCTAGACTCTGTTGAGGCATGGGGGAAAAGCACTACTCCCTGTGTGCTTGCCACACTTTGGCTCTGAAAGCATGAGGAGGGGGACCCTGCGCTCTGCTCAGATTTGAAACAAGCCACAGCTTCACAGTGTAACAGATCCTGCAGCTGGCCTTTGTCTCCTCTCGGCCAGTGTTCCTGATTTACCAGAAAGTCTGCTCTCAGTGTGTCCTGCTTCACCAACAGCTGACTGGCCTGAGCATATGTTGTCTGTGTGGAGACCTCTGCTTTGGATACACTCACCTGTTGGGAGCCTGCAGACATGACAGGGAAAGATATGACACTGGCAAACATTTACAAAAGGCTTACTGTTTAAAGTGATAGACATGGAAGCTTGTGGTAAATGTTTTAATTCATGGCTAAATATATCATTTTACTTACAAAACTTGCAATGTTGACAAGTGCTTAGGATGCACAGCATATGTCCATATCATAGTCCAACGTGTCCCATACACTTGCGAGCATGTCTGGAGTGACTGCTGTTGTTATGCTACCTACCAGTAACCCATGAAGCTGGTAGGCAGCAGAACAATCACGTGTTAGAAAGAATCCACTCTTTACAACAGTGCGTGTTTTAACTGTAAATGGCTGCAGACTTAAAGCCTTTCTAGCTCTTCAGACTACCAAGAATCTCCACACACATCTGTAATATGTCAAGTCTTTTTGTTCATCTGAAGTCACATTTATCCAATTTTAAGTATTATTTTTATTATTTCCCTGGTACGTAAACGTTTTTCCAAACATATCTTATAACAGCTTTCTTTACAAGCCTTCTTTCTCTATTGCTGCTGTCCTTCAATCACAAATCAGACCCTTTAACCCATCTCCACCGACTCCACCCTGCCTGCACTCTCTTCTTCACCTCCCTTGTGAACTCTGTTTTGTATAGTTGACCCACATATTTAAACTTATCCATCTTCACTACAGCTATTGCTTGCACCTTCACTTTTCCACCCATCTCATTCTCTTTTACACACAGTGTTGCTTCTGTTGACTCTTACTCCTTTCCTCTCCAAAGCACACCTCCACCTGTGAACATCAACGTCCAGAGAGACTCCTCGCTGAGCTCATATGTCAAACTGTCCATCACCACTGAAAACAAGAAGGCCAATCTATGATGCAATGTCCCCTCAAAAAGAAATCTAACCAAACCTTATAGGAACTAAGTTATTTATTTTAACTTCTGTAAAGCCCCTAATACAGAGTCATAAATGCTTAAATAAATATATAGATAATTGCCTAAATTAAAATATGTTTACATTACAGCCTTTATGAAATTTGATATACAAATGAGGTTTATTTAATAGAGAACACCATGAACGCCTAAATATGTATTTGTGTCACTCTCTACTCTTCTGAACCTAAAACGGTGCATTTAACCGCTGCATGGGAAAAACGCTGTTTCTTATTTGGTTCGTCCGCCTTAAGAGAATCAGCTCTGTGACTGCAGTCTATGCTGACTGTAGTCCCAGGCTACACGCACATTAAAACGGGTCTGATGGCTGACAGCAGCCTGCTTATCTGCATGGTGATAATAGACCAACCTGCCGGGAACACCTCCTCCTCCTCCGCTTTCAGAGCCTCGGCTAGCGTTAGCAGCTCGTTGGGCTTCACATCTTCTGACTGGGACACAAAAGCTTTGTCAGTGTGAAACTCTAATATGGTTCTCTCCACGGCGCCGAAGATTTCCTCCGCTGCTGCTGTCAGACGCTCATTCACGAAGAGTCTGAGCTGCTGTAACTTGGACATTTTGGAGGACAAGAAGACGCGCTGGTCCCTGCGAAGAAGCGAAGTCTTCTTCTCCTCTCGTAGACGGCGGCAGCCGCAGTAGCCGCTGTGGGGAGCTGCTGCCCTCTTCTGTGTAGTTGTTAAAAGCTTTATTTTGGAACAGGTGTTGTGCCAAAGTAGTTACCCCCGTCAAAAATTGTTTGACGGGGGTAACTACTTTGGCACAACACCGGCAATACTTGCAAAACAATGAGTAAATATACAGTAAATATTAAACAATTCCACGAGGAAAATAGTCGATACCAACTAAGTATCTGAGCTAAATATATATATTTTTTTAGTATTTACTAAAGTACATGTAACATGATGGACTAATGTCACCTCCATGTTTGTTGTGGGAAGTTGCACTGGTGGTTTTGTGTGTCACATTTGCTGTGATGGGGTTGGATTAATTGAAGGCAGGTGTATTTGAGTTCACTGATACTCTAGTCTACTTATAGTCCACACTACAAACACTGCTGTGACGTTTGTCTCTCTGTGCAGGTGTGTCATCAAGATGACTTGATTTAAATGTGTTATGATGGATAGTTTGCTGCTCTGTGAATTGTATAATGAAGATGTGGTGACATCTTGTCTCTGTGCAGGCCTGGGCCTGCTGCAGTCTAAAGGCAGCGTTGGGTTGCTGAGGCTGGAGTGATTACTGGCCTTCTACTTACAGGGTGGTGAGACTTGGGGGACAACTGCTGATAAAGTGTTTGACACGTAAAGTCCAACTGACTTGACGCATCGCTGTCTATGGCCTTATATTATTATTTTTTTTTTTTAATCTCTTTTGCAAGTGGGAAACTGAACTGTGTTATCCTTCCAATTTTTGATCATTGCACTAATAAATTATCTTTTAGAATTTTATTGGTTGTCATCTTTTTCCCACGGCCGAGACGGTTGGTCAGACCTAGAACCTCTGTGTGCGTTACATACATTTAATTTATTCTCTTGGATAAACTGTCTAATATAAACTCAGTAACCGGATAGCAGGTATCTGGTATGAACTGAGTATATTTTACATTTAGTTTAGCATATTTTATTTTTTTGTATCTTCATACACTAAGTTTTCAAGGAAGTCACAGAAGAAACAGTCAAATGCTCTGATCCAGGTTCCTGCACATCCCCCAATACATTTATTGATGTGTATTATTTATTGTTTAGCTCTCTGGTGTGTGCATTGGGTCCTCTCTCTTGTGAATCATTGAACTGATTGTCCTCAGTATAAACCAAAGGTGTCAAATTCATTCCAGGTAATGTAGAGCACATTTCATGTCGAGTGGGTCGGACTGGTAAAGCTGTCGATCAGCTCACTACATTTAGTTTATTTTAAATACACGGAGGCATTTAAGCTGCCGGTACATGTATGAACCACTCAGCACATTAACCGTGCGTGCTCCGTCTGTGAGCCCCACTGCCCTCCGCTGGGCGGCAGGTGAATCGCACACAGGGATCCATACCTAAACACAGTTGTGTTTGGTTCATTTCAGCCCATTACTCATTATGATCACAGCACCGTGTTTCGCGTGAACAGCTCACTCGCCCATTTCATTGGTGCCCGCTGGAAGCTGGGATGGGCACCATTCTGCAGGAGCAAGTGGCACAGCGGTGTGCCGAGAGGGTTTCCAGCAGGGAGAGGAAATGGAAGAAGGATCTGTGGAGCATCGCCGGGCCTAATGTGGGCAGGTACCGCCAGATATGCTTATTATTGGGGTTACACGGTGGTAACGGATGAAGACATGGCTGCTGTTTGTTGCCGTGTCCTCGGCGGCGCCACAGACGCTGGATGTCGGTGGTGTGTGACTGCACTTAGATGTGTAAATGCTCACTGTGTACGTGTGTGAACAAAGAAGAGCGCCATGTCTGCCCTGTGCTGCTGTTTCTACATTTCATGTGTTTCATCGGTCACATTTAACTCGGAAGATTTGTTTGTTTCTCTCAAGTAACATAATGGGAAGGCGGCAGTCTCAGAGGAAGCCCACACCGCCGCAGCACGCGTTCCCAAGTCAGGAAACTAACAGCGAGAAAGTGAGTGAACGGGCTCGGATCACTGTATCACACACAAGATCAGTCAAATTAGCTGGTGTTCCAGTTCTGTTTTAAATGATGGTACATTAAATAGTGACTGCTTTCATACAAGATACAGAGCTGCTGTTAAAGTAACACCTACACGTTTGCAGTGAGCGTTGTTTACATCTCGCTATTTTTTCCTTTATTCCACATAATGACACATTTCTGTGGCACAATAGTGCACAATTTATATCAGGCAAAATGTCAACAAGTCTCAATTTATTACCATGGTAATAACATTACCATGGTAATAACATTACCATGGTAATAACATTACCACGACCATGTTTAAGTGATAAGTTGAACATAATGTGTCTGTAATTGCAGAGGCTGCAACAAAGAAGAAAGCACAAGTCTAACAACTCCTCAGCTAAACGCAATACTTCTCAACACAGGTGAGGTTTGTGCAAAGTTTGTGTTGTTCGCTGCTGTCTCAGTGCTGAGATAATAGCTTTGCTTTGCCTTGCAGCGCTCACAGATCCTCAGAGTCAAAGGCTCTTCCAGTGTCCCCCACAGAGGGCAGGATGGAGCCAAAGGTGCTGCCGGTCACTAAGCGCTCCAGCCACAGACAGCACAAGCATGCGGGGAGCAGAAACGGCAAACACACAGCAGCTGTCTCCTACCACTGCACGTGTGGTTGCAGCACTGAGCAGCTGGAAAGACACTCGCCAGAACTGGAGGTCAGACGCCTGAGTCGCCATGGAGAAGATGACAGCGACACCGATTTGTCTGAGTCAGAGAGACTTCCTGTGTCAGCCTGCAGTCGTGCTCCTCCTCGGCTCGAGCTCAGGCCAGAGGTCATCGAGGCCGAGGACTGCTCCTCTCGCAGCCACAGATCCAATTTGCAGGGCCATGGAGGTTTTGACTTCCCAGACTTCCTCCCTCCACCTTTTAATTCGTGGAGCCTGAGTCAGCTGGCTGTTTTCTACAACATGGAAGGCCGAGGTACCCCCCGGCCCAGGCCTGTGGGCCCTTTGGAAAGGTATCTGGAGAAGCTGCTGCAGCTGGAGTGGCGTCAGATCCAGACCGTCCAGGAGGAGAGCGGGAAGTCGGTAGTATCAGAAGTGATATCCAGCTGTCACAGGTCCCCTGCTGCCGCCACATCACGTCTCAGCTCTCCCAAGTGCATCCTCCAGTGTCAGCGTGCCTTCCCCCTCACTTTCCTCTCCTCCCTGGCTAGTCACTCCGCCCTCCTCTCCGGCTGCGCCTGCACTCTCTGCCGGATCCGCTGCTCCCGCTGTAGTGTGCCATGCTGTTGCTCGACTTACAGCCACAACCGCCAGTCCAGGCCGAGTGCTCCGCTAGAGCCCAAAATACTCCCGAAAAGGAGCTACAGCGAGAGCCGGGTGCACTCCTCAGACAGGGGCTCACAAGCCCAAAGGTTCAGCAGCCCTGTGCGGACCAACAGCCACCTGAGGAGAATGCAGGCATCAGGAAACATCCGCAACCCTGTCCAAGGTGCCGCCACCAGCCTTCAACACACTGCCAGCGACTGTAATGAGGTTGCCTGGAAGGGGGATGTGTGGGACTACAGGATGGGCGGGTTTCGGAGGAGGAGCGGCTCAGAGCAGAGGAGAGGTGGAGGAGACAGGAAACAGAACGGATGGGAGAAAAAACGGAGCGGCTCTGAGTGTAGAAAAGGAGGAGCTGAGAGGAGGAGAGCGGCTAACCTCAAAGAACAGGAAATAAAACCTGACGCTGTCACTGCAATAATAGACAATTTACCAGGATCCAAATATTCTCCTATACAGAGGCCAAGCAGGCCCAAACAGGTGGAGTTTGTCACATAACAGCAGGTGTAGTGATAAATGTGTAATCTGAATGTTACATACTGTCATCACCTTAAAGTTTTATTATGAATGTACAGTCAGCAATACTGTTCATTTGTTAATGTGATATTATTTCTCTGTGCTGTGGGGGATGTTTACACAGATATGGAAGAGAGCCGCTGGATGTCCAAGTTTGATAAGTTTGTGCTTTATTTAAAAGAACCCAGATAGCATCGTGTACTGTATGTGATCATATGATATGATTTTCAGCAATTCAGGTTTATTAGTCTTTTGAATGAAGCAGCAAACATCATCAAAATTTATTAAAGAATACCAAACAGTCTTGTGAAGATGGTGTATGATGCTGAGCGGGGAGAAAAGGTGAATACTGGACTCGCAGGCTTACTTGTAGGTGGTGAGCGTGGGGTACAAGAGGTGTGTGATCGAGTGATGGTCCAACCTTATGTTTCCAGGAAACTGAGGGTGAGGGTGGGCAGGAGGGTGAGAGCGGAAAAAGGTTTAGTTTCCGAGAGGAAGGTAGCGATGTGGTGAGAATTGAGCCGCAGGTCACTTAAGCAGTGTTGTGGTGGAGAAACTGAAAACAGTTAAATCAAGGTTAGTACAGAACAGACATAAAGTTACAACGCAGTGAGGCTGGGTTACCTCCATGAGGTAGCTGATAAAATCGCAGAGAGTGCATGACTCCGCTGGCCTTAAGTATTACCTCGCTGACTGGATGGCAGGTGAGCAGAACAGGTAAGGAACCAAGGCTCCGCCCACAAAACACCAGCCACTCAGTCAGATCATGACAGGGACTTCTTCTAATCTGGATCAGACTAAAGGATAAACTGATCAGATTGAATAACGCCTATGAAAGAAAGTGACACAAATGTGTGTTCAGATCATTAAACATCAAATGAAAAAACACAAGTCTGGCCATAACGTGGGAACAGAAGCAGATATTTTGAAGATGAGTCACTTTTGGTGCAACACGGAATCGGTAACGCCTATAGACTGTACAGAAAAGATGGAGCTAACTTGCTCTGGATGTGAAAGGCTTACAGTTGTATGGATGTTAAACGTTATTACCTTGCACAAAAGGTAACGTGCACAAATCATTTTTGTTCTTAGCATCAATTTGAATCAATCTAAATCAACATGCTTGGCTTGCTGCTGCAGTCTGCATACTTCTACATTTCCCCATATGAGGAAACATGTACCTCAAGGTGAAGTGGAGAAAACAGTAAGAGCCTGCAACACTAAAAAGGAAGCGAGCAGAGGAAAGTCTGACTGATGAAAGAGATATTTGTGCCTGATGAGGAAGGCACATTTCCAAAGCGTTCCCTGATGATGGTTAAAAATAAGGTGAGCTGAAATACTTAAAAAACTTAGACTTAAAAACAACTTTTTCCACTGAGACAGTCGCTGTGGATTAAGAAAAAAAAAGGAAGAAAGGTCAGTCTCACTAGTTTCGTTGGCCTTGAGGTTGAAAAAAGTTATCTCAGGTCTCTCTAACTTTGTTTCATGAGTGGCTACTTAAAACTGAACTGGATAGGACTCATGGCAAACTCTTCACAACTTTCAAGTGAGTAAGAGTTAAGAATGACACTGGCTGACATATGACCTGGCAATAAATATGGAAGAGAGCCTGGAATGACTGGAAGCAACCAGCTGTCAGCCTCAAAGTGATGCGAGATGAGCGAATCAATTCCAGACGGCTTGAATCAAGCCAAAGACTATGTCTGTCTGTTAAGCACAGTCTGAGGTGACCACATATTAAATCTCCTCAAAGTTATTCTGTTTGAAATGCAGTGAATCCCCTCTCCCTCTCTAGTCTGCGCTTATGGACAGGGAGATTTTTGTGTTTCGTACAGTTCAAGTTATTCTGCAGCAGAGTAACAATGGTAATAGTGGTTTATAGTTCTGCTGTATCCTGTGAGGCAACTTATCTACTTACTGAGAGAAAAAAATACAAATGCAAAGCCCACAGTCTACAGGGGTGGCTCCAAAACTGACCAACAGACAGAGAAATGTACTCAAAAGTGTTTCTAAATTTAGTGTTTAAATATTGCTGTTTATTGGTCCCCCTGCAGCTTTAGAGAGTATACGCGTGAGATGATTTTACCAAGCAGGTAAAGAAGTACAAAGAGGCGAAATCATCATCAAATCAAATCATTTCTCGCATTGCACAAGTACAGTTACTGAAATCAACTCTTCCACATAACATTTCTACACATGAGATGTGCTGCAGAACGAGCCACGTCTTTCAACTGAAACGTAGAAATGAACGTTCTCGTGAAACGGCTGGAAATGACAGAAACATTTGCGGCCAGTTTCCGAGCGGTCCTTGTAGTGTTCAGCTGTTGTTTCACACCGGACATATTTTGGAAGCGGCACTGCAACCATGGACGAGGTGTCCCAGCGTGTTTTGGAGTATTTGACAGAAGTCGAAGAGGCAGCTGAAGATGTTCTCACCACTAAACAGCAGGTAAGTAAATACTGAGCTGAGGACGTTCACACGGGAGGATCGTTATGTACGTTATAGAGGTATGCTAACGTAGCCAGTGACGTTAGCTGCTAAGCTAGCTAGCTAAGTTGTCAGCTCATGGATGAGAGAAAAACACATTTTTGTAATATATAATACATATATATGTGTGTGTGTGAGAGAGAGAGGGAGACTTTAATAATATAAAATACTATATAATATAAAAATGTGTGGACATTTTTCACAGATACAGCTTTTTAGTCAAATTATGAAGCTGCTATTTACAATGAAAGATTTTGTATTCTTTGTATTTGTATTATATTTTGAATTCCGTATCAAAGCAAAATAGAAGTACATTCACTGGTGCTCTCATTGTTTTATCCATCTGTGTTTGTGTGTGTGTGTGTGTGTGTGTGTGTTTGTGTGTGTGTGTGTGTTGCTAACTAATGCCGTCTGTTGTTCTTCTAGATTGTGGACCTGGACACAAAGAGAAACAGGAACAGGGAGGCACTCAATGCCCTGAAACATGATGTGGCAGATTCAGGTGAGCATCCTCTCCCAGCAGCTGTGCCACTAAAAGAGTCAAACAAGAGAAGCTGTTAAAAACACAAAACCTCACAGTGATAGGAAAGCCAGGTGTAAAGTTTATTCTATGTGTGTTTATGCAATGAATGACATAAAACACTGCTCACATTTGCAGAGAAAGTCAAGGTTTGCTTGGGAAGCATGTTTATCAAATTCCCCAAATCCAAGACAAGAGAAATGATTCAGAAAGGTAAAACATTTCTAAGTCATTGATTCTTACATGTGCAATTTTATTAAGAACACATCACCCTAAACTCTTTTGATCTTTGTTGTGGTGTGTAGACCAGGAGCAGCTGGACAAAGAGATAAATGATCTTCGCAAAGGGCTGAAAGCAAAAGTGAATCGTCTCAATGAGATGCAAGGTAAGCTATGCTCTTACTATAATACATAATACTTGTTAACAGTTAAACTGTTTAGCTGCAAAATGTTCATCCAGTTATTTCTTTTTAGTACCACTTAGATTTCCAGCCTTTTGTTGCCCCACCTGATTTTTTTAAGATGTGTTGCTGCCATCAATTTCAAAATGAGCTAATATCTTTCATGAAACAGTAAAATGTCTCAGTCTAAACATTTGACTCTGACACTCTGACCAGATGTTTCTAATTTTAATAATATTCCACACACAAAGGAAAGCAGTATTAGTTTGTTTAATTTTCACCTTGAAGGACATCCTGGTAACCCCTCCCCCAATAAACCCCCCAAACTCACGAGTATTATTAGTTAAATGTGAAGAATATATGAAGAAAATCACTTTCATTCTGGTTGTATAGAAAAATAGAGGCCTCAGAAGCTCTTACTAGTCAGTACCCAGGAGGAAACAATCCAGAAAGTCTATTTGAAAGATAGATTTGATCACAAACTGCGATTGGGAAAGAACCAAACATTGCACACGATAAAGTTCAATCGATAAATTAGATTTATGAGGGTCCCTGGATCACAGCCTCATAAAATGCTAAACGGTTTTGGAAGGTGTGCAGTATGTTTGGGATCCTTCACAACCCCTAACAATCAAACCAGATCTGAACACAGAGACACTGTGCTGCATTTAATCCTTACATACTGGTCATATTTTCATACCTAGTCTGGTCTGGTCCAGAATATCTTCATAATGAGCGTCTACACCAAATTTTGAACTACAGATTGTTTTTGGAAGTATAAATAGCTACTAATGTGTTTTAGGAAAATCCATCAACAGAATGACATTTAGGTTTTTCACTGCTGTCAAACATCTAAATGGCTCAGATTTGGGTTAAAGTCATAGGTTTGAAGCAGCCATAAGTCAGTGTAGTAAATAGCAGGATGTGTGGAAAGTCTGAATATATAATGACATTTTTAAGTGTTTTATGTGGAGTCTGCTGTCTGTAAAAAAATAATTCCATGACATCTGGAATATTCCTGCAGCCTCCATAGCAAAAATGTCTTGTCTGGTCTCCAGTAACTTATTTGTACAGGAAGTGCAGTGTTATCTGATGGAGGTTTCATTGCTTTACATCATTAAACTCGCAGAATTTCTCCCAGTGGTTCTGTTGTTGGAAGCAGGAGAGGAAACTGAGTCCAATCTGCCTTCAGTCAGATACCTTTAGATTAGGAGGAATAAGCATAATGACTCAGTCATTATTCCTGTGGGAAGTCCTTCATATTATTATTGGGAAAAGTCCTCAGTTACAGTGATCTCTATTGTTCTGTTCCTACGACTACATTTATTTTAAGTCAGTCTTATATGATCTCTTAACCTTTTTTGTGTCTTACTGTTGCAGGAAAACCTGAGCTGAGAGGCTACAGTCTTTCTCCTCTGTCCACTGATGAAATCAGAGCTATTAACAGCCTTTTAAAGAGATGACTGGAATTCAACAAATCACTGCATCTGGGGACAAATGCCACATGCTGACATGTTGACTGCAGCACTCAGTTGTTCAGATGGGAGCACAATGTGCCAGAGCTTCAAGCCAAACCATCATCGACATGAGAACTGATCGCATTTTAAATGTGGGAGTAGCTAATGTGGAAACCAATACAACTCCCATTCTGTCTAATGGCTAGCAAGAGTTAACCTCACTGATTGAAAAGAGAATTTCAGTTGTATTGAAGTTTTTATCTGTGACCTCGGTTAACACTTTCCAGATGAATTTATGGTTTCAGTTTTTAGTTTTAACCTTTTTCTTTTCAACTATAACATGATTTTTTTTGTAAATTGAGTGAAGAGAACAGTTTACCCTTTATTGTTTGATCGCTCAGTTCGAGGAGTCGCAACAAGC